ATAATGAAATGCAGGAAAATAGTGTCATGAAGCAATCTTCTCGTAGTTAGTGTGGGAATATCTAGTTGCATCCATATGTTCTCAGAATTATGATCTAGTTTAGATATAGGTGTGCCATCAATATACAAGAGATGTCACAGGAATCTGTTTTGAACTTTTTCTAGTACAGTAGAAGATGCATCTGTTTGTAGTGCCCAGATTACTGTAGTGAATTCAAAGATAGACCTAAAAAAGGCAGAAAATAGCAGCTTGCGAGTCTCAATCTTATAGAAGTTGGATTTGAGAGTTCCTCAGCACTAATTCAAGCATCTGACCATATCAAGTTAATTAAAAATGCAGGTTGACATCAAAGGTCATTTTATGATCAACTATATTGATGACAAAGTTATGGGGAAGGTTGTTAATTATGTTGGGGCAATGTATAGGATGTTTCTTTCTGGTGTATCTCACGATGTAGCACTTTCCAATGTTTATCTGCATATTGTAGTCTGAGCACCAAACAAGTAGTGTTGATAAGTCTGTTTGAATATTATGAGTGGCAGAAGCATTGTAGATTTTGGAGTAATTTTTTGTGTTGTAAAAGAATTCTACCATATTATGTGAGATTGTTAATGAAGATGTTGAACGGTAGAGGGCCAGTATGAGGCCCTTGTGTTCCATCAGAGGAAACCTTGTAAAAGTATGGATTGTCACCTTTGAAAGGGACCAATTGTCTTCTTCTGGTGAAAGAGGTCCTCAACCGAGACAAAAATGGTCTCTGAATCAAAGTTCGAAGAATTTGGATGAGAGAATCTTATGGTTGAAAACTTAACATAATCTCCTGGGTTTTTTGTTGTTTGAAGATTTTGTACAATTTCTTTTTCTCACAAACGATTTTTAAGTCCAAGGAAAACCAGGGATGGAAAATCTAGGACTAAAAATTTGAGTTGACAAGTAATAATCAATGGCAGAGTATAAAAAGGTAGTGTTAATGTTTTAGCCTATGAAGTCCAATGACCAATATATTGAGTTGAAATAATCCATAGAGTCATAATCGCCTCGTTTGAAATCATAAAATATGTGTATTTTATATTGGTTCCATCAGGCTTTGACAATAGTATTGTGATGATCAAAGCAGGGTGGTACGAGGGATGTTCAATGAGTTATCTGCTCCGTCTTATGGCTTTGTTGGAGAGCTGAGCATGCACAGGCAAGTTGGGACATGTTTCAGAACATGAAAAAATGATGCGTGGGTGACGATTTCCTGACAATGAAGCTGTTAAGGAAACTGTAATTGGGTATCTGGACAGCCAAAATGTTTCCTTTTCTGAGGGTATTTGATCACAGAAGGCAAAATAGACCAAGTTTGTTGAAGTTAATGGGAACTGCTTTGAAAAGTAATGAGGTGAGTTTCAATACAAAATTTCATGTTCAGGTAGATTACATATTAAATGCTCTCCGTGTATATCACAATTAAGGAGTGGGTCAGCACACAAATCAGGAACAATAAGATCAAGAAGTTATCCTCATTAAATTGTCAGAGACTTAGTAGTTGCAACATCAATGATCAACACAGCACGTGAAGTGATTGAAATAGAGTCGTTAATCACTCCTAATTTTTCCAGAATATTGTTCCATGCAATCCTAAGTAGGTTCAAATCACCAGTTAGTAACAATGGAGTAGTGGGATAGGAATCAGATGTGGTCTCTAGTCCATGATAGTAATCAGTGTAAATGAGAGTTACTACTATTATTTTATTATTATTGATTATATTATTATTTAAAAAAATATTTTTTTCTCACCTATTATGAAATATGATCATTAAAAATCACTTTTATTTATTAGTATTGATGACCATTCAGTATGCTGGAAACTTATTGTGGCCCAAATGAATTTAAAAAAATATCTTTTGGCTTCTGAAATACAAGAAAAAAAAAGAGGCTATTTGCTCGAAATGAAACAAGATTTTTCAATATAATTTTGTAAGAGATCTTATGGTGTTTGGGTTTCATGTATTCCTGCTATTCATTATAACAGAAAATGTAAAACTATTGTAAATAAATAAATGTAGTTTAATTTTGCCAGACTTTTGAGACGAGTGTGTAGGAGTCATGACAAAAATGAAGGAGTTACCCTGTTAGTATAAAATACTTTTCTTTACATTCTAAAATAGTAAATTGAATACAAAGTGTGATTAAGCAACAGATCTATTGAGATAATTGTGAAACAGGATAGCCACTTTCTAGAAAACTGGGAAACATTAGGTAATTTCATTGCTCTGGAAAAGTTGAGGGGGAAACTGGGTAAAGATGTGATTATAAAACTTATATTATTACTAAGCAACTAGTACAGCATTATTTTTTGCTCAGTTTCTATTTATTGTGTTTGTTTTAATATATACTTTATCACAGTGAAATCAGAGTGACAAATTAGTTTCAGGCTTGCCTCATTTCACATTAATATTATCTGGGACACTGAGATGGCACTGTAAGAATGAGAAGAAAGGTTCAAAAGCGAGAAATTCTTATTTCTCGCTTTTGAAACCCCAGTAAAATGGGGCCTGACAGCTAGTATTTTAATAGCTAATTCTTTGTTGTTTGATGTTTTAAACATCATTCCACATTTGTGCTTATTTTATGTGAAGTGAAATTAAAAGGAATAATTTATTTTAATTGTTTCATTTGTGAGGAAAAGGACATAATTTGTTAGTGTATAATTATTTACTATAACCTTTGTTTAATAAAATTTGTCTGCAAATAATAAAATACATAAGCTGATTTTGAATCTAGGTAGTAGTTCATAAAAAACATTTATTTATTTCCATTGTTGATATTAGCCTGAAAGCTGAAGGTTTTTATTAATCCAGTTCATTATAATACGAATTAATTATAAACACTAGAAAATTACATTATAATGAAGAAATGTGTAAAATATTCAAAATGACATTTGGTGCCCCTCCTTACTTTGCAGTAGTTGAGAATAAATGAAATGTGAATGCTGCTCTTTAATTGGTAATTTCGTAGTATAATTAACTATAATCGCATACTGGGACAATCTACTTGATGCTGTGTAAAAACTGTTTTGTTTTAATTTATGACATCTTAAGCTTCTAATTAGGATTGACAGCACAACCAGTAGCTTGCCAGCCTGTCTGTTGATTCAATTTCCGTTTTATCCTACAAAACGGAGTCGTCCCCGTTTTGGCCTGCTTCAATCTCCTCGTTTGAGCAGGCCATGACGACTGCTAGCAAACATGGCGTCTTTTTTACAACCAGGAGAGATAAATGAATGTACCTTAAAACTAGTAGAATCAATGCTTTACTCACCAAAAGTGAATAACAAAAAGTGGCTTAAAATCCAATACACTAGATGGATGAAATCGTAGAGGTTTTCAACAAAAAATCGAAACTTTCGTAAAACAAGCAATTACATGCAACCTCAACTCCTCTCAAAATGTTTGACAGGGCCTCTAGTGTAGTAGTACCACGTTTGGACACCGTAAGTATCCCTCGTCAATAAGAAACTGAATGTCACCGTTTGACCTGCGCCCCCATTTTGAACATTCCCCTATGTAGAAAATAAACCATCGAAACATTAATACTAACGCCGACCAGCATGAGCGCTACAAAATTGTATATAGCGAACCTGCAGGTCGGCAAATGAATTATAGGGAACGAAAAATTTTATCGTTAAAAATTCAACGTAAGGAAGCCTTAGTTCCAAAACCGACCTTTATTAGACTAGTATCTCGAGCCCAGTGCAACTAAAGGTCGGCATTAGAACTAAAACTCCTGCTTTAATTTATTTTTTTTAACGATGACTTAGTGCCTGTAGTAGCGTGAGTCAAGTTTGTAGCGCTCCTAGAGGTCGGTATTTGAACCAAGGATTCTTTCTTAATATTTCGAACAAAACCAACTACAACATCTAGTTCCAAAGTAATTTTAACAAGATATTTCTCTCCCTAGTTCAAGTCCCGATCAGATTCGCTATAGTAATTTTTCTAGCGCTACTAATCTTCGGTGACGTGCCGATTTGAATTTCTATTTCAAATATAACGCCATACACTACCCTGCAGGGTGCTTCTTAAAAAGCATGCTTATTTTCACTGGTGATATCTATTGGCATAATACTAATAATAACGATAACAATAATAATTATAATATTTATTGAGTCACATATACAATTACAATCGTGTATGACGCGTCAAATATAATATATATAGAGGGAGTACAATCGTATACATTTTCTTGGGAGCAGCAAGTGAAGTTACATTTATTTGTAGTATTCTGGCAAATTACTTGGAGATTCATCAGTATTGATTTTTTTTCTGTGAGACACCACAGCTTGTAGCTACTTATCAAATATTTTAATATTAAGGAAATAAAATTCTGAAACCAAAGTCATGGATTATAACAGAAAAGCAGCAAATCTACAGAGAATTAAGACAAGTCTGTTAATTTCCATTGTTATATAATTATTACAAGATGTATGTACATTGTAAAGAATTTTTCAGCCCAGAAAAATGCTGCTTTTTTAAAGTTATTATTTTAAATAATTAGCAATATTTATAAGATCAAATACATATTTTCTTTGCCACTATTTCAAATACCATATTTTATTTAATATAATGAATACTGTATACCATTGATTTCATGATGATATTCAAATAACACTGAACATATTGTACCAAGATTTTACCAAATCAATGAGTGATTCATTCTGCTTTCTTACATAATCAATTGTGTAATGATAAGTGGTGTATATTCTACCTAAAACAGAATTCCATTTGAGTTAGTAGAGTTGCTTAACATTCTTAGAAAATAATATGATACGAGCAACATTACTCTTAAAAATACTTTTGTGTAGGAAAGGAAGAGAAAACTTTCCTCTGAGAGTATATCTGATTCCTACAAGAACATATTTATATTAGGCAAAAAATAAGAAGAACTTCACAGTATTAAAACAATAATTTTGTTTTATTTTTGATCAATGATTTGTTAATTTCACAATGATATTTTACGTAAGCTTGTACAAGTGAACTGTACTGCTTTTTGCCATTAATGGTATATGAAATATTTTTCTGTAGAGTACTAACTTGCCTAAGATGATTCAATACCCCTTTGTCAAAATCCCAAACATACTACAGATAATTAAATAATCACATACAGACAGTGAAAATTTTCAACAAAACAGACTAAGGGGTAAGAGGAACATAGAGGATGCCAAAAAGTTCACAATGACCCCATCATTAATCTTATCTAGCAGAACCATACTTTGAAAATTAAGTTATCATTCTCTAATTTTTCTCAAAACCATACACCAAATTGCAAATTCTGAAAAGTCATGAATTTCAGTGTGATTACCCTTTTAAGAAATATTATCCCATAAACATGCTACTCAATTATATTGTTTTCATACAAATATTTTGGAGAGTGGAAATTTGAAATCACCGTACAACATATATTGTTCTTACTATTTTTCTATTTTAAGTAAATCTTACAAGAGAAATAATTTCTTTAAAATAATACTCTTTAATCAAATGTGTTGCTTTAGTTCAAATAGAGAAGGGGATGAAAAGCACTGCAAATCAAAAGTTATCTTTCTGAGATGGTATTTTTTCATGTGTCCTTTTTTTTGTGAGCAGGAGGCATTTTCATTCCCTTACTTATTCTGTATATCAAATTACAATAATATGAAAACTGTATTTAATAATAATAATATTTATTGAGACACATATACAATTACAATCATGTATGATGAGTCAATATGATTTCTTAGGTGGAGAGAGCAAAGTTACAATACTGTCTATAAGTGAAACAAGGGGCCATCTCATCATTTGCTCAAAGGACCAGGGAAACTGAACAAAAAGCCTGATCAAAATAGGGCCATTGGCCTAGAGATTATGCTACAATACTTGTTACAGATAGATAGGGATATTATACGGTAGATAATTAATTATTTTTAGTAGCAAATAATTTAACATTTCAAGATTTGTAGTTTCATGTTTGAAGTTAAAAAAATTACTTGTTATTGTTAATAATAATAATAATAATAATAATAATAATAATAATAATAATAATAATAATAATAATAAAAATAAAGTACTTTCTATGTCTAAATCTTGAAATTATGAGGAGATAGAGGCAGGGTTTGGCCATGTGTTTTTCTATTTGTATACCTAGTTCTACTGCAGCACCTAATGCATTTAGCAAATCCAAGGTGAAGAAAACAGAAATTTTGGTCAGGCATTTTCCTTCTACATTGCAGGACGCGATATGCCAGTTCTTTTTTCTTTGCTTCAGCTCAAAACAGTTAACATGAAACAGAAAGTCAAATGGGATAAGAGATTCTTATTTATTTATATTTTTTAAGGAAAATATTGTTGTGATTTGAATATTCCTTTACACTGTAGAACATGTTGTTAAGCAGGAAAGCTTTCAATTTACTTTTAAATGTGTGAATTGTGTTTATGTCTTTAATATCATTGCCCAGTTTGTTGTAAAGTGTAGTGCCCTCTATTAGGGTACTTTTGTGATAAAGTGAAGTTTCAGAGTGGGAGCATGTAAGTTATCCTTTTGAAGAGTGTTGTAGTTGTGTACGTAGGGAATTTCAAGTAAAAGCGTCTTTGTTTTCCATGAGAATCTTCTTTGTGAAGACCACTATTTCAAATATATACATACATGGTAGAGGAAGAATCCTTAGTTTATTGAACAAGGGTTTGCAAGACTCCAGCTTATGAGTGCTGGTCATTGTTCGCAGTATTATTTTTTCAATAATAAATGTGCGAGTGCTTTCAGGGGCATTTACCCAGAATATTATTCCATAATTTAGGCATGAGTGCACATTTAAAATTTTTGAGTTTTCAATAAACTTCATTGGAAGTAATTTAAAGCACCTTAACTCAGAAAAGCAATAGTGTTTACAAATTCCTGAAAATGTTTTTGTTTTTTTATTAACGACGTATGAAGTATTTCAAATAATTACATTTGTGTATTTTTTGAAAAAACAAAAGAATATCAATACATCAGCTTTATGTCATATTAAACTGTGCATTTGCCATTATCTGTGCAAAACATTTGGAGCTTTTCGTAAACTCAAAATATTTCTTTGAAAAAGAGTTTTAAATTTCGCATTTTCAGTGACGCTTACGCGCCATTTTCTTGAAAACGGCTCCAAATTTTTCATCACTTCGGATTTACCGTCAGGAAACCGAAAAATTGAGATTTTTAAAAATATATATATATATACACGCGCGCGCGCGCACACACACACACACACAGGCACTCACACTCACACTCTTACGCACACACACACACACACACGCGCGCGCGCACACACACACACACACACACACACACATACATACAGATATATTTATATTTATGGTCGGCGATAGGCGGTAGCTGAAAAGAGGATGGGGCAATAATGTATTTGTCCAGACCAACGAAATTAGAAAAGTAACTAGTAAGAGAAAGCCTATGCCAAATCTATTGCACCGCTAGTTATTTTCTCGTTTACGTACGTATATACGGAGTAATACATGTAGTACAGAGAAAGTTATGTAATGCTGCGGAAAATCGATTACGAGATTTCGTGAGTATGTGAACAATTTAGTACCTAAAGTATGCTTACGACTTTTTCCAAACTGAATGGACATAAATGTAAATTCAAATTAACTTCTCCCCATAGCACGTCACATACAGTTTTTTAACTGTTTTTGACATAAATAAATAAATAAGTGAATAAACCGCTGTCGATCTGGCGTGAGTGGAAGCTCTGCGAGTTTGAAAAACATTAATTAATTGTTGGGGGTTCTTTATATGAAGCTCTCGGGACATTTTCATTAATTTTCTCAAAAATTGCTCCGAATTTTTCTTTAAATTTCTCGTAAAAATAGTGAAATATTATGGAAAATACGCCGAAATATAACGTAGTGTCCAATGGTAATAAAACCTTGTTGTTTACTTTTCGATTTATACTCTTTCTGAGAATTAAAATTTGAGTGTGTTGACTAGGGAAAAGATTTTGATGTGCAAATTATGGTGTAGTAAAAGGGGGGGGGAGGGAAAGGCCCTGAAAATACATTCAAAAACGTGCATAATAAGTGCTGCCAAAACAACTATATTAAACCAGTAACATGAACTCAGTTCTAGAATATTTTGCACCAAATTTTCTTCTTTACAGTGCTTTATAGAGTCCGTAAGAGGTGATTCATTCTTCTTATACAACACTGTAGTAGACTGAAAACTGTTGAAGAATTTCCAGTACGAACTGGCCTTCCTTTTCCCGCGGATCGCGTAGTAAAACGTACGTCGCTGGCGCGTCAAAATGCGCCCGCTCGAGCGCTTGCCCGTGTGAGCAAAACGCCTCTTGCGGGCACAGATAGCAGGCTCCCCTCTCCTCGAAATCTACAAGCGCTGCCAGTTCTCTTTTAGTATTGACGCGACGCAATGGCAAGGGTAAACATTTTCCTCAGGTCACAGACCAGTGGATTTCTGCACATCCATTTAAATGTTCTAATTTAATAATATTTATTGAGTCACAGTAACAAAGTACAATCGTGCTATGAGAGTCAATATGATCTTGGGTGGAGAAGCGAAGTATATTACTGTTCAGGAGCAAACAAGGGCCATCTCAGCATTTGCTCAAAGGACCAGGGAAACTGAACAAAACGCTTGATGCGAGATGGGTCATTGAGGCCGAGAAATACAACACTTTTACAACCCCCCCCCCCCCCCCCCCCCCTGTTAGATTAAGATATTATACAGTAGATAAATTATCTGCTAATAATTAACATTTCAAGATGTTTTCAGTCAAAATAATAGGCTCACAAGGAGATGTAATAACTCTATGTAGAAAAATAAGCTAGAGTGCCACGGACCAATGAATGGACATCTCTCCCCTAGAGAATAATTTACAGTGACACCATGCTAAACAGGCAAAACAATGGAATGAAACAAGGATTCCCAAAAGCAGTGCTGAAGTGCAAACCAATAGGGTGAAGGGATGTGGGAAGACCACAAAAGAAATGGTTACATCGGGAACACCTGGAGGTGTAAGCTCTTGGTCTACTAGGAAATGGAACAGGCGACAGACATAGCAATCTGCAGTTGATGATGATGACCAAATTAAAAATGCAATATCAGAAAAGGTGGAGGATGGATTTTGAGGAATAATAATAGTTCCTCAAAATCCCTTTTCTATATTTTCTGGTTTTGTATTTTGCATTATGTTCAGATGTACAAAAGAAAAATGTTCTACTAGCCATTTTGCATGTGCATTTGAATGCTCATGGTTAGGAGTTCTGCAGTTTGCTGGTGGGATAGATGCTTACCAGAAGTTCAGCAAAAACATTGCATTCTTTGAATTTCAAAAAAACTTGGCATTAGATCACCATATACATTAGGCATTAAACAACTGAAGGATGTACGAGTTTAGCCAGAATTTTCCTCAGTGGGGACAGAAGAGAAATAAGAATTATTAATGAAGTAGAAATATAAAAATAATAATTGTAACAGTATTTCAAAAAATCAGTAATCAAAAGTTTAAATTAATGAAGTGAATAATTAAAAATTGATAGCATAAAATTTACTTATTTAACAATCAAAATTATCAATATGAAATTGAAAAAAAAAATAATTTTCATAAAATGAAGAAATCAGAAGTGTATAAATAAAAAATAAACCATTTTATTTTTATAATATATTTTTAACAAACAAAATTTTTCTTTGGACCGAAAGAAACAAGTTCATTTATTACAAGTTTTCAAGTATGTTTGAAAAAAACAACTCAGATTTCATTTTTATGTTTTTCCCTCATTTGTAAATTAAGTATCATGTGCACACTCATAATGTTAACAGATATCACTTGAAAAGGGGCTGTGCGTTGTGCACTCAAAACATTGTGAATGAACTGTTATGATGCGAAATAAAAAGCATCCAGTAAATATGGGTTTGTTTTTAACCCCAATGTCCTTAAAACTTACATCATTAAAACAAGAATCCTGTGTACTTTCAATATGCATAATCCATTGAGTTTTTCTCCTTTCATTGCTGATCTTAATTATGTTTCACTCCATGCAAGGAGGTGAACAACCACTGTACTGGATGAGTGGTGCATGGTAGAACAAGAAAACTATTGCCTTGGATTTCATTTGAGAGGAGTTAATATTTAAAAAATGTGTAATGTATACTTTATGGTTTATTTTATAAGTGGTAGGTACCAATTACATTAGTTTTCAACAGTGCCATCTCCAACTCTCTCTCTCTTTTTTTTTTAACTGTTTGGGAACTGTATTAAATTTCATGAGGACTCCACAAAGGCACTTGATTTTATCCTACTTAAATTAGTGCTTACTTTTTTAATCTGTTGAATCCAATACTCATACTCACTTGACAACTGAATTTCCTGAGACCAAACCAAAGTAGTTTTCTTAGAGTCACACTCGTACTTAAAAACAGTAGAGAAGTCCTAATCTTGCAAACACAAGAACAAAATAAAAACAAGAATATACAAGTGACAATACTTTTGGTTTTATAATGTATACTTTTAACATTTAGCATTCAAAGTAAAATGTTTATGTTTCACATTATAAAAAACAAAAATCCTTCTAAATCATAATTCAAGAGACAGAAAACCCTCCTATTAAGTTAAGCTTTTATGCAAGTAATTCAAGAAAACCTTGATGCAAATACAAACTCCTGATGCAATTACACTGATATTACAATTAAATGATGCATTAATTTTTTAAGATAATTCTGTTTTGAAATTATTTTTTTTATGGTCTTAAGCTTACCACCCACATCCTTGGCTGGGCATTGAGCACTTCTCTTTCAGAGACTATAAGGAGGATTAAGTTTACCTCTCAGTTCTTTACTAAAATTAAATGAAACACTATATACTGCAGAACATCTTTCAAATTTTTATAACTTTCTAAACAACCTCTTGCAAGGCACAATAAAAGCCCCTTGGAGTCAGCACTTTTGCAAGACAAAACAGGAAGGTCACTATAAAGGAAAGTTGAGAACCTAGTGAACAAGTAGGATTTCCTGACATTACAGCCAATGTAAAAATAATTTGCATAAAGTTGTAAATTTTGCCTACTCATACACGTACATTTTTCATTTATTGACTAATAAAATCAGTAGTTCTCCCTTATTTTCAGTTTCAAGTGATTGTCAGTGAAACTATGAGTCCAGACAACATGAGGGTCATAGAAAAAAGTTCACTTTGACATTTTGTCAAAGTAATTAATGATAATGAATCACTTATTAAGGATGTATTCTTTTATTAATAAACCAAAATAATCAATTGAGTGTATGCTTTTTTGACAAATGTACTCAGCAGAATGTGAATAATGGTTTTTCTTTATCTGTGGGATTGTTTCACTTAGATGCCTTTAACATTGTTACACCACATCACATCACTCAACATAGACATGACATAATATTTTTAAAATGAAGTAAACAGGTCATTTTAATGTTTGTCTCGATAAAAAGAGTGAGCAAAAGGTGCTAAACATTATCTTGATGTAAATACTTAGGTGTGGAAAGATAAATAATTATAAATGATTATTATAAAAAAGAAATTTGAGTAATGTAATGCAGCATTCATTCCAACTAATAGTTTTGTACCATTTATCAGATATCGCTGACACAGTACAAGTGTTTCTGCTGGAGAGGGAATTACCTCCAGGGTGTGCATCAATCAGATTTAAGACAATAAAAATTAAGAATTTCACATGGTATAAAATAAGGAAAATGGCAAGGCACATGCAATTCACAACACACATTACCATCACTCATAAATGTGAGTCATTAAAACAGTTTTCATGATACTTTACAGACAAGCATTTACTTAGATTCGGAAGCCACGACCTGTTTGTACTACTGTTTTGAAGGGTCCCTCTAGTCTGTAGTGGATGTGTTCAAAACTGGGGTGTTGGTTTGAAATGGTTTTTACTTTTAGAACAATGATTTAAAGAGTGTAGAATGTTCACAGGAGTCTAACTATTTCTTTTGAATTATTAGTACAGCATTGACTGATATTTTTCTGATGAATGAATTTGCTTTGGTAAGTTATTTTGATTACTCAGTGTTTTGAATAAGTATTCACAAGTGTGATTCAAGTCAAATATTCTTATTAATCAACATAGCATTCCAAGTATTTACAGAAAGAGCATTTGTGTCACTTATTCGCAGCCCCTTAAGTAAGAAAAACACTCAGTGCGGGCATTAGTTGCAATGGCATGAACAAAGAAGAAATTCAATATTTTAAGAAAATTGAGGTCAATAATCTATGTATCATAAAAGCATAGTCCAAAAAATTAAAAAGTTTCTTCAAGCTAATACAAAGCTACTGGAATACATTTAAGATAAATTAAAAATGATTGTGGACATTTTATGCTGGTAAGTCACTGACCTCGAAAAGAAACATTTTGGCTCCCCATTTTCCCTGACACCTTAATCCCATCCATTCATTGTCCCTTATAATTATCCTCACTACCAGATCACATTGTTAAACATACCCTACTCAGCAGTTGGTAACCATTATGTCATTCTAAACGGATTCAGAGAAAGAATAGTATAAGGTCAAAGAACTCATGAAACAATTAGCTAGTAAATAACTATATCTTCAAAAATTCTTTGCAATCTTTGGCTTTATTAAAAACTGACAGAGAGACCATTAAATAAAATCATTTTTTAGACGGAGGAGAAACTTCTCGTTCATTTTGAAGGTGTTCATTTCATGGAAAGGAGAGAAACTCGACATCAATAACAACTAGCAGTGGCCTCAGACCAGGCTGTGGTTTATCAACGGTTCTCTTCGATTAACCACTAATAAGGAATTGGGAGAAGAAGATGAACCAGGGAATTTGAATCAAAGGAGATAGAAAGATTGACAATCCTAAATGCAGATGACCAGGTAATAGTAGCAGAATCCAAAGACAACTAACAGAGGGCAATCAAACTACCAAAAGTTGCGTAGGAATATTTCAAGATAATATCAATAAGCAAAACAAAATCCATGGCAATAAAAGGAAAGGAACAAAGAAGTATTAAAATTGAAACAAATAGGTAAATAGTAGAGCAAGTAAGAGAATTCACTTACACAGGAAACAGAATCGCTGTACTAAACCACACTCAAGGAGACATCAAGAGAAAACTATGTAATTACTACAGAATGTGTAAAACCATTAAAAAAAATCCTTGGGAAAGGATATGGATTCTACTACAAAATTTAAACTTCATAACATCACAGCTAAACCAATGCTTCTATATGGTTCAGAAACCTGGATAATGAAGGAAAACAACAAGGAGAGAATACAGGCAGCACAAATGACATTCCTAAGACACCTCTTAGGAGTCATGAGAAGAGACAGGTTGAGAAACAAGAACATCAGAAGAAAACTAAAAACCAAAAATCTAATAGAAGAGATTGAAGAATCACAAAAGAGATGGAAAGAACACATTTGCAGGATGGAGAGTAACAGAATACTAAAACTCCTCTGGAAATATAAACGAATTGGAAACGGTGACACAGGAAGATTTTTAAAGAGATGGAAAAATCAGGAGCACCTAGAAGATAAATCTATCAGGACTACTGAACCAGCACAAAATGGATCAGGATCATACCTAAATGCCTGCAATTCATGATGATGATTATGATTAAGTGTTCAGCTCCTGATGAGGTCAATGGGTGGGCAGGATCTTGTTAAATGGATCAATTTTTGCTTTGACTTGCAGTTTCGTTGCACTGTGTTCAGTTAGTGTCACTCTTCAAATTCAAAAATCTTTCTAGAAAGTTAAAAATTTTCCTATTTCTTCTCAAATTTTGCCATAGTAGATCCTCTTTAAGAGGACAAATTCTCAATGAAGCTAATCCAAGAAAAAAAGGAAAACAGTTGCACCAAAAGATTGGAGTGAATTGGAGCAGTTACATCAGGAAAGAGAAGATAATGACAGTTATTTGTCGCAGGAATGCAGCTAGAAGCTACATTCCTCCAGTACTTATTTATGCTTGACAAAGGGCAATTCTTACTCTCAAGACCAATGAACCTTGTAGAGCACTGTATCACTGCTCGGTAAATTACTAGTCAAAAGAACATTTTGTTCTTTGGTTACATTTCCGCAAATTTGAAACCCAGCAAAGAAGACCCAGTTCGTAGGTTTCTGTAACATGACTTAATATGTCAGCCTTTTTGGTCTTACCAATATATTTCAAGTTTAAATGTGCAAAAAGTAGCCCTTTTAAAAACTCACTCCTTGTTCATGATAGCCTGCTTCTCTGACCATCATTACCTGACCCCTGGATGTAATGGCAGTCATTGCTGGTTGTAGTTGGAAAAAATGTTTCATTTCTTGGCAACTATTATTACAAAAAGCACACAAACTTTAAATTATAAAAGATTAATCAATAATTGTAAGATTAAAACCAAAAACATCAAAACATATTATTTAGAGCAGAAACAACTGATATTTCTGAATACTGTGATTTTCCTGTTCTCTCTTAAGCATGACAATGTCAGCCCCTAGGCAAAAGGTATAGTTGTACATTTGATTGTTTTTACTCAGACTTATCTTAACTATCCTAAGTGTAAATTAAATGACAAAATTAAATTGAAAGTCTCTTTATAAAAATATATATTATAAGTACGTGAAGCAAAGTAGATATTGGAAACTGAATATTTGAGCAATATATATCAGATACCACATTTAAAATTTTTTATCAATATTCAAAAGGATTCCACACCATGTAAATTTCGGGTTCCAATTTCAGATAATAGTTCTTTTGAATCAGAGTTAAACATAAAAAATATAAAAGAAAAGTCAATGGAAATAAATAAACACAATTTTTTCTATTATCACTGTCCTCTTTATTGCATTTTTGAAGTTCTTTCCCCATCATCTTTCCTTAGTATTTTTGATTAACTATTTACAGTTAAATACATATAACAGTTCTTTAACGGAAAAATGATACTTTCTATGTACAATTACATTCACACTTTCATGCATGCACTCAAATATACAGCATACAGAGAAGAATTCACTTTTCTGTTAAAATCTAGTAAAAATATCTCACAATGAAATGCAGGTAGACTTTGGAGCTAGAGCACCACCGAACTCTTCTTCTCACTACGCAACATGGCGACAGAAACAAGAGGAACAAATTGCAACAACTGTGCAATTTCTATTTACACATTCAAAATCTAATCCAGACTGAGCCTTATACTGATCTTTCAGCAATGAAGTCCAATAACCCAGCCTCAACAAACACATCTCTCACAATAACAACATTCTCTCTTGAGTCCAGAGTTTCTTAGTCCTGAGCCGATTCAGTAGAACAGTCAAGCAACAGACATAGATTGTTGAAAAAACGTCCTCACATTGCTTGACCTTTTGGGCCATCAACAAAAAACACCACACGCAAAACACATTCCTTCATTGTTCAGTCATATTTGGATCAAGTATAATATAAACAAGTCATCTTGACAAAGAGATCAAGGCTATGTACAAAAAAAAAGCTTATTCTTATAACCACTGTTAAAGAATAAGTAAATAAGCCTTAAATTAAATAGCATTTTATAACAAAAAAGAGCTTGTTCTGATATGAACATATCATGTTCACTGCTGACCTACAAAAATAATATGAAAGAAACTGGCCCAGGTGGCAGTTCTACAAGATGTGTCAATGCAGTCCATGATTTATTCACATAGCTGCAGAGATTACATAAACTCTTGCTCACCAATGAGAATAAATTTCATTTATCACTTCAACTTTTCAGGGCTTGCATTTTCCTCTGTTGAAATGTTATGGCAGCTACCAGAAATGGACAAATTCCTTATCTTCTCCAGTTTAATTACCTGTTTAATGCAACCATTTTTTTAAAAACTTTTTTGAGACAGAGTGAGAGAAGTAGGAAAAGATTCTACAGCTAGGATGTGTAACAACCATGCACAATCACACAAGAGCTATTTAGTCTTCAATATGCTACCCAGCAAGTTTTAATCTTTAGAAACGAGAACATCAATACATTTAAGTCACAAGACATGAACATAACATTCCAACTGAAGAAAATGCAAGTCCAAAGAACATTACTGAACTATATGTTGTTTACTCCTAAGTATCATATTTAATTCAATAACAATTCATATTTTTTTCTCCTCAGACTAGGACAACAGAGTCCTCTAATACTCTTCAATGTTTCACCATCTTCTACCATTCCATTTTACAAACTAAACTAAATACAACAATATCAATCAGAAAAATCATACCTGACATTGAAACATTTAACTTAACATGTACTCACACTGATATTTGTATCTGTATATCCATAGTACAGAACAATTCAAAGAATTAAACATAATCAATTTTACTAAACGAGCAACTGGATGAATAACAATTATATAAAAATGTATCTTTTGATGCAAGAGACCAGAATTTTGTACTTTTCAATATGTAATGGTATGATGTTTACATTCACACATTATTTTGCAAAATACAATAAAATTACTTCATTGGATATAAGAACACAGGGATTTATTAAGATTGGCAGTTTATGATGATACTCTAAAAACGTTTCTATGAAGTTGAGCTCAATAGAGATGAAATCCAGCTGGTTTTATGCGTGAGCGATAAATACAACTGGTTTCTCTTTCAGGTAAGATTTTCTACATGAACAGCAAAAAATACCGTCTACTTATCAACATTGACTGTCAACAAGGTTAATTTTAGAGCACTGACAAGAAGTCTGAACAAAATTTAGAGTCATAACATATCAAATTTAGTCAAGGGAATAAATTGCAATGCAATACCAGTGAATATCAGCACAAGGATAAACAAAAATTGACAACAAATTCTTATTGAGATGAAATTTAAAGTTTTACAACCTAACAAAGCAAAACTATCACTCTTAGTTGTTGAACTTACAATTTTTTTGTTTTTGTTTAAGTCTTCTGTAACAGAAATTAGTCACATAATTTAGTATTATTGTTGTCTGCAACTGGAATGTAAATTTATTGACCTTGTGAATGCCTGGTGCTAATCTCAGGGTTTAAAAAAGCCAAGAGTGATTTATAAATTTACCAGCAATATTTAGCTGCATTTTGTTTTTTTGGATATCAATGTTGCAATAAACTAAAATTAGGAGACATGAAAACTCTCCTTGTTAATTCTAATAGACAAAATCTAAATGATGTTTTTTCTCACTAAATGAAGGAAAGCAACCTAGAGCTGATCATCAAAATCTGTTTTGCACATGCAGTTGTCTCCTTGTTCAATAATATGACTTCTTAGAAAGTGATCAACAGTATGTCTCCTTTGCCAAGCACAGCCATTTATGTTCTTGTATAAGAAACCATTCAGACTTGGCGAATAATGTTGCAATAGTCTTTCTGAACCTAGATCTTTCAGCTGTTGATCAGATGAACCTCTGTGCCACCAGAACCTCTAGGGGAGTGCATGGTGTGCCGGAGTGGTGACGAACTGCAGTACCACACTGGCAGAGGAGCCCGCGTCTCACGCATTGGAATGCGGAGGCAGTGCAGAAGGAGAGCTCACGACCACAACAGGTTTCACAAGAGTGGCTGCGCTCAGGTACTGGGCATTCATCACAGGCACTGGGCCCACCGACTTCAGGAGGGGAGTGGTGGTCATCATCTGCTCGGACAAAAGCACGGAATGAAGCAAGTCACAGTAGTCTCTAGATCCCGGTGCCGTCTAACACACCAGTATGTTAAACATGTTTGGCCTTAATAAGCATGTTATGCTCAATATATATTGTGAACTATACTGAAATAATCCTGAGCTTTGAGTCTAATCCAGAATTCTTTCCATTCTTACCTTGCCTCCACTGATCTGCTGAGGAGCTGCAGTGAGGATGTGCGCCACTTGATTGCCCTGCGACACTACAGTCACAGGGGTCACAATAGGTGTCAATCCCTGCAGCTGCCCAGCCGCATGAGATCCCAGTGGTGCAACCATGTGGGCAATACCTGCAACCCAAGAAAAAATTCTCATACAAATCTTGTTTACACAGCACTTTTCACCTGCAAATCGACTGTAATTCTACATATGCCTGGTGTATTGTGCAATTAGAAAGTTTTATGGCAAAATGAATAAAAAGGAGATTTTTCAAAAGAAAAAAAATAGTTTGATTCTAAACGAGTACCTCTTTTGAAGTTTTATTAATACTAAACTGTGAACCACAAATAGCAGTATTAAATTTATTTAGTTTCTTAGATTGTCTTCAAGGGTGACACCCCCACATCATCATAATCATACTTTAAAAATATTTTCAAGCAATTAATAAATATGCTTAAAAATTATGTTATTTGAAAACTTCTTTTCAAGTTCACTATCAACATATTTTCTACAAAATTATATTTTAAACCCTGGTAGAAACTGTTTCTCTTATTTCAAATGAAACAGTAGAAAGATAATAGAGAATATTGTTTTCTTTTATTTTCAAACTGTTCATAAATTAAAATATACAACTTAAAAGTAATGTATACTTTTCACAAATATTATAAGTATTGTACAAAATATTGTTCCTTAAAGTTTGAAACATGGCCTCCCTTTAAACATTTTCTGAAGCCACATTTTACTCTTGCTTATCATTCATCTGAAGCACCACCTACCGGCTGAAGTGAGGTGAGTGGGCAGAGTTCCAGTGCTCTGAAGGGTTGGTGCCAGGACCGACCCTGCCTCTGTCACAGGTGCGTGTGCCAGAGACAACGGAGCTGATTTGGTAGTCAGTGTGACCCCTGCGTGGCTCAAGACACCATTGGGCAGTGTAAGACCTTCACAGAAGATAAACACCCATTAAGTTTCATACGAGTCAAGTATAAATCAAAAAGATAGTACAGTCAAATAAAAATCCATCATTGAGTAAAAAACACAAACAAAATAATAATACCAATTATAATTTATTTGTAAATAATTAATTTAAAGCACTGTGTGTGGTTAATATTTACTTTTATTTTAATAAGGTTTCGAGTAACATGCATTCATGACACTAAAGTACAAAGTTAATGGACACGATACTTCAGTCAAATTACACAATTCTTGAAGCAGTTCTAAGATTCTCCTACAGTATTGAATAACAATTATCCACAATTCCAATTCCAATTCAAATTGATAAACTTCTAACTTAGTTACGTAGGCTTGGGCAGCCAGAAAATACTATGAACTTTTCTTCATTTCTCTTTATTATATTATTGCCAAACAGCAAGTGATTTTTCCATTAGTCCATGAATTGTTACAAGGTATTGCCAAATGTATCTGACTTATCACTGGGCATGATTAATGTTAAAAGGTGATTATGTTCTTCCCTCCCAGACTGACAAGGCAGTGAGTTAGGTGCACTGAGAAGTCCATCTCGAGCTCACCTCCTGTGAGGGTGATTGGTTGGTGCTTGGAGCCATGTCTCAGGGTGGCTGCTGTGGTACCGTTTGCAGGCAGCAAGTTCAGCTCGGCCCCACCAGGCAGCCGTGCAGTTTCAGCCAGAGCTACACCGCCAGCAGCTGCCACCATCTTGTTGGTCAAGTGCAGTGTGGGAAGAGAAATTGCAGCTGTGGTGCGAGCCTCGGTCCCTGTTCCTTCTCGCCCTCCACGCCCAGACTGTGATGTGACAGCTGAAAAACGAGAAAGACACATTTAGGACTTTCAAACACTGTATAGACTCTTCAATGGATATTTATAAGAATAAATTTTAATTCTTTTAATATTAACTTTTTTATATCTTCTTAAAACAATTCACACAATGCACTTTTGTTTTTAAAGTAGAACCAATCTGAAAAGATTTGAAGTAAGGCATTGGAAAAACTTTGCAGGACTCACCAGAGGCAGAAGGCAAATGTGCAGGAGAGTGGTGCACAGTCAAAGCGAGTGGCTGAGGCTCAGCTGGGACCATTCTTATCCCTGGGGTAAGCAGCTGAATGGGAGTAGACACCAATGTGGCTGCTAATCCAGGAGCACTCATTACCTGGAAAATGAAAATGACAATCTCTAAATTTCATTATGAATGACAGATTTCGCTGTATGGCACCTGCGTATGTACATGCAACAAGAAATAGCCATTGCTTTATATTTTGATAGATCTTCTGCTTTTATTTATTTACTTAATTTATTTTCTTCCTTTATTGCCTACACCTCGACACATCTTCATCTACCGTGCACAGAGATTGCCATGACTAGAGCAACCTTCTTGGCAGCTTCAAATTTCTGCTTTAGAATTTAGGTAGGTCAACTAGACATCTTATTTGGAATTAAAAGAATGAAGTCTTATCAAAGTACTTGTTTTTGTTTCTTTGAGGCACTTTGACATACACAATTTTTAAAATACTCATTGAAATTGGCATCAATGATGGACCTCATCCAGGTATCAAAGTTACAATTCTTGAGGAATAGGGATTTTGCTGCACCAAAATGTATTCAAATAAGAAAATGCCACTCACATTTTTTTCCTCAGAATAATGTTTAACAAATTAAAACTTGTTCTGGAAAGCTCCCATAAGCTCAAGTATTTTTACTTCATTTAATGCCACCCGCATTACAAAATCTCTGACACTATTTTAAGTATGTTCAGCGGCGCAACTAATTCATATATTCCACACGATCGTTAAGTTCTTGCTTCGATTCCGGAAAAGGTTTAGTTGTTCGCAATGTAAGGGGCCACACACGTTCGGAATGTCGAAATGAATGCATTTTAGTGCGATGCCGGCAAAGTTCGCAATTCAAAAGACTGTGCCTGTGCGTTCCTACAATAATTTCAGTCCTGCGGAAGGTCACGCAAGGAGGCCGAAACGTTGTCTAACCAGGCAACGACAGCCACAGAATACAAACACGCAACTTCAGCCACGGAAGCCAACAACTTCCAAGTCCTGCCGAAGTTGCCCAACTTACGTGGGACAACACGTGATGATGCTGCTGCTGTTGGGTGGACATGGCGACGGCGGGCGTGGGCGCCGTGTGGGCGATGGAGGCGGGTGCGGCGGCGGAGGTGACGATGGCGGCGGGCGAAGCAGCGATCACCCTGGCCTGCGGGGGCGACGCAGATAGCCCAAACGCTCACAATAGGTTTCACACACCCTGTGGGTTTTCATATGATGCGAGAAACGGGCGAATCTTCTTCGATACATGGGGTCTTCTTTTTTTTCTTTCCATTTCCCTACCTGACAGATTTCGGCATTCCTCGGAGAACGAAACATCAAGACTCGTCTCGGATATGCTTGGGAAAAAGTACCTTCGCGTTAATGGGTTGTGGAATAAACCACAATATTATCATAGAGCCAAATGGCCCCAAATACCGGCCTACGATTCTAGTATTTGGATTGTCTTCAGTGCGTGTGAAAATCTGTATCCATAGTCCCGTGACTGATACAATAGCCATGTTTTTATCGGAGCCAGAAGAGGGGCCAGAGTGTATTCTGAACCTCCACTTGCTAGCGAAGATATTTCGGGATACATACTCAATGGCAGTATTCGTCAGCGCGAGTCTCTGTCACCTCTATATGTGCGCCAGGAGAAAGATTTACACCACATAACGACTAGACAGTTGATGCACGATTGTCGTCCGTCCGGAATTAAGCTGTAAGGTCCCGCCCTGATGCGTACAGTAGTCTCGGCTGAGAGGTAGTAGGTCGTAGGCTGTCTAAGCGAGTATATGCGTCTCGGTATATTAGCGCCCAGGTGTGGACTCGGGACAATCGCATCACACACACCCACCGGATCAGAACGGAAGACCCGGCTCGTAGAATCCGCTGCCTCACCAAGACCTGTGTCTGGAGGCAATGGTAGTCGAATCCTCTTACTGCTACGAAAAGTTCTAGCCCACCTTTATGAGTATGCGAGAGCACGTCGCATACAAGCGCATACAGCCTCCGCGTTGAGACACTGCAATTGACGATCGAGTCCTCCCCATGCACATGGTCCATGAGGTCCTGAGATCTTTGCTGGTAAATGTACAGTCGTGGTCAGACAGTTCAGAGATACTCCTAATCTACTTAAAGTGAGATTGCCTTTTCTCGATCTATATGAGAAGTTGACTATTTAAGCACACTGCTGCTCGCTCTCTGAGCGCCGGGAGACTACAGTGGCTAACGATGCTACTTTAACATCAGAATTTCTCATTTCATAATGGAGTTAATAAAACTTGAAAGACCGTTGCCAATGAGATAGGGAAAGCGAATCCTCGAGCTTTAACTATTGCCTTTATACTCTCACAGAGAGATTTATTACGATTCTTTTACTTTTGACTCCGACTTATGCGCAATAAAGAGTAGACCACGCAGATTCATTATCTGTCTTTTGCTGTTATGTACTTGTCGGAACTAATCATCACCGTTATTGTGTACAGCTGACCACTATTCTCCATGACAGTTGTAATATGTAATCGATAAGTAGATCAGCTTTCGAATAGAAAATAAGAAAAGAAAAAAGTGAAGGCTTTAGTGATTAACTGTAGTCGAATTTTGCGTTTATTCTCGAGAATACAGAGATAAAACTAGTAATCTTGGACTGTACCTCAGCATATGTAGATATTCGCATTTTTTAGGCTCACTGGGCTGAGACTAGACGATAGCCTTCATATTAGATTATAATCGTCGTAAGTGAAACAGGAACGTACGGTTTTACATTCATATCTGAGCTCGTACCACATGTTCTAAGCGGCTCTTGACATTATTGTTCTTTTGGTTTGTGTCCATTGGTTTCTCAACATAGAACTTGCTTTCAGAGCAGTTGAATAGTCTACTCACGATGACACAGGACGAAGAATAGTCTATGGCATGAGTCCAGCGGGAAATTGTTACTGCACACTGCGAATGATTGAAATCACTGAGTGATGTGTTTCGTTTTTATTTTATTTTTTTTATTTATTTTATTTCATTTGGATAGGACAATTCAAGATCAAGTGTTTAAATACAACTATTAATTTGTTATATATTGCTTATATTCTGCTAATCAAACTTTTAACGTATTTGGATTTGGTACTTATTGGAGGTATCTTGAAGTGTGGTTATTAGGACCGGTATGTTGATCAGAGTCTTGCTTCGAATAATTGTAGCGTGAGTTTAATTTCAGCGTTAGTAATTCGATTTCAAGAATATCGCGTTTCTTCTCAGCGCTCATGGTCAGTCAAAGTGTGGGGCCTGGAGGGTGAAATTTAATTTGAGAGTAGTGCGATTAAGTATTTAGCTAAGTATTTCGCATCAGTGCTCTGGTGTTTCGAGCAAACCAGTTTTGTTATTTTTGAGCATCTTAGGTCCCCTAGCAGTATGGTGCTATTTGTTTTCGAACCTCTTACACGGAACTAAGAAAAATTAATAAAGGAAAACTCATGCAAGTGGTGCTCTTCGTGATGCTATCAAACGTCTATTGTTTTTATTCGTTATTAGTTGGCAAGGACTTTGATTGCATGAGGAACATTTTTATAAACATATACTACATTCAAACATTTTGTAAGTGTGTATTTTATTTATTAACCCGGTAAAATATCATATAATATTTGAGAGGGTATAAAATACGCAGTTGGTGCACATTAATGTTGTTAAATGACAACATTTTTTGCTCGTGTCTACTCTGTGGAAGATCCGTGTTACGTTTCGTGAGTTATCGATAAATATTCAGTTTAAGTGATTCTTTAAATCTGACAGTATTCTAAATAATATTTTGTTCTATATCGCATTGCCACCAGGATAATTATAAATAGATTAATGCAAATTGTTTTTCAAGTAATATTTTAATTATTTATGCATTTTAAAAACAATTATCTGGCATAATTTAGTGGACTTGTAATATTGTTTCTTCTTAAGATCCTCGTAACAATTTATCTTAAACGAATAAATGACTTGTGTTAATTAGTATTATATTAATGTATAAAAATAGGACAAAAAATTTTAAAAGCACGACAGCCTCCCCCTTATGGATTTTCGAAAATAAGAATGAGATTCTATAGACTTCAATTTTATCTAGGTATTCATGATATAAGTTTTTTCTGGATTAATTAGCTTATTAAAGCCGAATAATAACCTTTCCGGCGCTGAACGACTGAGACACCAAGATTTCTGTTCGCTTGGAGCAATCACCCGTGATTATTTCATTAGCAACGATAACAATTTAATATGTTGTTAGGAGATTTATAATGCAGTAATTTGATATCCTTGAATACTAGCAGCACTATGTTTATTCCGAAGCTGTAGAAATGAAAGCTCTGAAGTCCAGAGATAAAAAGTTACGCCCGAATAATACTATGGTCTCAATCGGTTGGTGGGCAGAGAAATTTCCGCTGTGGCGACGGGCTTATAATTCTCGAGCAAAAGCGATTGACTTGTTCTCTGCCGAGGTGCTGCTCAGCGCTTTGTGGTACGTTTGCTGGCGGGGACGGTCGCAGGGCGGAACAGGCTACGCAAGGCGCCGTGCGCGTGCGACTGCGTGCGCGAGAGAACCGCGCCACGCCCCCCTCCCCCTCCACTACCCACCCGCCCACCTGCTTATCTGTCCAGGGGAGCATTTTCCTTAAATCTTCGTGGCCTCCCGCCGTGCGCCTAGCGAGCTCGCCGTCCGTAGCGATAGCAAACTCTTTCATAAAATACCATCGATGTTTCTGATAACAGTGTGCAAAAAAGGTTTTCGATGTCGATGGAAGACGTCAAAAAAATCGATGTTTTAAAATATGGATGATAACATTAAATCGATCGAGATAGCAAATGCGCATCTTCGCGTCTATTTCCGTTTACAGAGTACTTTAAAATGAAACCAACGGAAGTTATTTTATTATTAAAATGGGTTCGCGTATAAGTAGTGTGTTTAATTATTCAGTTTTATGCGGATTGAAGAAAAAGATATCTATACATAAAGCTAAAATGCGTATGTGAATCGCACATAAAGCTCAAAGACTACTCGACCGATTTTGCTTTTTTTTCTGTTTTTTAATAGAAGTAATTTAAAGATTGATGGTCTCGGATTAAATGGGACAATGGAGCGTTAAGATGATTTTCTTATGATGAACTGCGCCGACTCCACTTGAACTCTTCGCAGCGCCGACGACGCACGACTAGAGCAAATATGTCCCTCGATTAGGAATATCAGCCACGGAAGAAAGACTTATATACGCACTCGAATCTTCAAGGACGCGAGTAAATCAAAGTTTCTCTTCGAGGACACCTGATGCCGCATTAAGCGAATGCAGCTGCTCAAACTTGAAAAATGTTTCTACAAAAGTAAATGATAAGTGCCTGTGTTAACCTGATCAACGAAGCGATTGTCATACCAGGAGCTAGAGACCACACCGCCGACCACTCTCCGAGACACATCCACAGGAATCGCAATACTTACTCCCGGTCCTACCGACATCATCTTATACACGTAATGAGAGAACTGGTCTTTACAACTTACTTTGAGACACTTTATTGGCGGACTATTGCCCCTGGAAGTTTAGATAAGGCCACAAACATGCAACCAAATTATTTGGTGTTTGGTTGCTACTCAGTGTGGGCCACCTCCTCTATCTGGTGGCTCCGAAGGGATTTTGTGGCTAGTTGTGTATTGGCTCAATTCTCGGTTGGTTAGGCTGTTCGGACAATGTTTGACGTATTGCAACGTTCTAGGCCATCGTTCTGGACGGACGGACTACGTTAGTGAGATGATATGGTTTCAGAGTTTGGGCCTGCGTTGACGCGGATCTCAACGTTCATTTCCAAGGGCGTCCTTGCGGTGAACCTTGCCCGCGGACTGGACGATGGTTCGGGCCATGTAAGTAAAAAAATCAAAGGATATTCGCGGTGCGTATTTGACTATTGTCGTATTTGACCTTCGCCTTTATTATGTGCACCGGATCGCTAATAAACTGCATTCCATATCTCCCATTTTGACGGTGTTGGTTGGGCTGTTATTCTAATGCGTCGTCTAAATCTATAAATCGACAATACATCTTTTCCGCCATGTAAGTTGCTCTGAGAGTGAGCAGATCGCAAGGAAAATAATATTATAATAGGGGTTGTGAATATATATTTAGAATATGGGTGACTCTTGCGGGCGATGAGCACATTAGTATACGTATCTAATATTCTTTTAAGAATTAGGGGTATGATCGCGATTTATTGTTCACAGAGGTATGACGGGTTAGGGCATTAATAATGCAGTATAAAATACTATGAGCATTTGATATATGATGAGACTTATATTATATACGCATACCCATGGAATAATACACTAGTAATAATTTATAAGTATTACCTAATATTGGCTGTACTGTATTAAAACTAGAAATTGGTTTGGAAGGCGAGTGTTGAATCCTTCAGTGACTACTTATTTCTATGTGTATTAACTGACTTTGCTCGTCGCAACTTTACTTTATCATTCGCAATTTTGTCACTGGTATTATTGTGTCACAGATTCTCTTGGCTGAGTTGCGATTCTTGCCTTTGATTGGTTTAATCTAATGTTGCTACGTTCTTCTTACAACGAATTTAGGGAGTGAACACGCTATTTTCAAATAAGATCACGCACCATGTGCACAAGATTTCCTTGTAGGGTTTTGGAGGGATGGATCTTCAACTCTGGGTCGTGCCTCACCCCGGCCCCCTCTCCCCAACATTGGTACCACAATGGCGAAGCCCGTATTCACGCGGGCGCGGTTGGCGTTCCTGGCTCTTGGTTAGTTCCGGTTCGGGCGGCGATTAATGATAATATTCGACGGGTTCGGTTTTCAGGCCTGGCCGTCCGCTCCCCTTTCCAGGTTCCCCCACACCCCCCACCACTTTTATCATTTTTGCCCTTTCATTCTTCGATGCCCTAGTCTTCAGTCCTAGACTAACTGTTCAACGTGCAAATCACTCTGAGTCGCATCCGAGTTATTCCCTCATGTAACTTTAGCGGGCCCTTTCCTTTTCTTTCAAGTTTCATGGCAAGGCTGCACTGTCTCTCCACTTGTGCACCTATGGCTGTCTACTTCATGCCTACGGGCTTAACAAAATTGGCTGCCCAAGATGCAATCAAGGATACGTATATCGCACCCGGCTGTGGGATTT